TTTTTAGCTGTGAACACACTCTAACGCTGCAAAAAATGCAGAAAAATGTGGTAAAACGTGGCAAACCAGCGGTTTTTTTTTAGCCAAAAAAAAATTATTTTGCGGGGGGGGGGGGGTTACGCTAGAAAAGGCAAACATGCAAAAATGCTAATGCAAAAACGGAGAAACACTTGCGTTTTTAACGTGACTTTACACAGCTAATTCTACCAGGGTTATTAAAACCTGCAGTGTGCATGGAGCCTTACACACATCAACACTTGTTAGGCACACACAATTAACCCCTTGATAACCCAGAGATGTTAACCCCTCCCCAGCCACAGTATATAGTATTATCACTGTATTAGTGTCACTGGAGATGTCAGTGTCAATTAGAGCCAGACTGCCCGCTGCACTATCACAGTCCCACTATAACTCACTGATCACCGCCATTACCAGTATAAAATAAATACAAATTCCAGTATAAATACCACAGTTTGTAGACGCTATAACTTTCACACAAAGCAATCAATATAGACTTATTGGGCTTTTGTTTTTGTTTTTTTTAATTTTACCAAAGACATGTAACAGAATATATTTTAACCTAAATTTATGAAGAAATTCAATTTTATTTTTGTTGGGAATGTTTTTATAACAGAAAGTAAAAAATATTGCTTTTTTTTAAAATTTTGGTCTTCTATCGTTTAAGAAAAAAAACCCATGGTTATCAAATACCACCAGAAGAAAGCTTTATTTGTGTGAAAAAATATGATAGAAATTTAATTTGGGTACAGTGTTGCATGACCGCGCAATTATCTGTTAAAGTAGTGCAGTGCTGAATAGTAACAAAATGCCCTGGTCATGAAGGGGGTAAAACCTTCCGGAGCTCAAATGGTTAATTGTCTTCAGAAACAGGTCCCAGAAAACATGTTAACCCTTTGAGGACCGTAAGATTTTGGAACGCCAAAAGAATAAATTTTTTTTGTTTTTAAAATTCGTACACTTCAGTTGCTGTAACTAAGCCATTTCATGAAATAATTGGCAAAAAGCTAGATCCATTTGTTGTTTGTTGATAAGAACTAATATTTTGACTCAAACCAAAAAAAAAAGAAAATAGTTTTAAGTTCTTAATCAGATGATACTAGCAATTAAAAACATGGGACAAATAAGTCCCTTGGTCCTCAACGGGTTAAGAAGTATTAAGTAAACCACTAGGAATGAGCATTGACTAACAGTGGGCTTTCACTCAATTTAAAACCTTAAAATGGCCAAGGACTCATAATATCAGTAAGAGGGTCACAAGAAAACCCAATTTAACACAGCTGCCATATATGCAAGTTACAAGGACACATGAAGATCGGTGATCATATAAATACATAAAGCCACGATAAAGGAATTAAAGAAAAAATCCTCACTCCGAGAGAGGTTATTATTGATAGAAAGTATCTCAAAGGCCTCAAGAAATCAGAATGTGGGTCTTGAATTCATTGTTGACATGCAATTTCAAGGTGACCTCTGATATACTTTTTAATCTATGGAAAAATTATGGTAAAAAAATAAACTAAATTACAGATTTATTCAAAAGAAATTAAGTGAGGAATCCTGAAAAGTGCAGATTCTTAGCAGTTATAGGAACTAAATTTGGTTATTTAAAAAAAGAAAAAAAAAATTATATATATAACAGGGTAAAATAAAGAACACAAAATGAGAAGGTCAAAGATAAGGTTGGCAGCCTCATCCTTGTAACTGCATCACTGAAGATACAATTCACTGAAAAGTGGGTAAAATGAGGTAAGAAAGTGTGGCTCCATTAAAGTGATTGAAAACTAATGAATTCTTCATGAAAAACCCTGAATGCAAAGTAACCATGAAATTAAGAAACTAAATGTAGTGTAAATAATATAAAAAGTGCACGTATCCCAAGACAATTCTCTTGTTTGTCACAGGCATGTTATTAAACATGAGCACCTGTAAGTATTTTTCTATCTCCATTACTAAAGGGGAAAAAAAAAAAAAGTTTTCACGTGTTTTGAAATTTAGGATTATGGTAAAAATATTTGTGCACACAATTTAGTTCTATAATTCAGTTACATTCATGGTTTTCTTAAGTACCTCATTTACATTTTTTAAATACCCTAAAAATTACAGTAGAACTAAAACGGAACTTTTTTTTCATTTGGGATACAGTAAGCGAGGGGTATAACTTATCAGTTTATTTTGTGCCCCCCATTAGGGAGGTTTACCTTCACTTCCTGTCCCATAGCTAAACAGGAAGTGAGAGGGAATTCCTGCAAATTAAGGGGATTTCTAGGGGACCCCCGTAGTCCTTAGCCTGTGGCTTTTGTAAGTTTTTGAGTAATATCTCATCTGCACACTTTTCTGGAGTCAATGACTCAAATTCATTAAAGTAGAATTATAGGCAAAACATTTTTGTTCATTTTGATTACAGCAAGGGAGGATTATAATCCCTGCCAGATTTTATTTTTCTCTCCATACGTACCCCATTGCAGAGACTTCCCTTCACTCCCCCCAGAACTAGTGTCCCCATTGGAAGATTTCCCCTCTATTACTTTTTTGGAGAAAACTAACATTTGGGATTTTCTTTACTTTCAATGATAATGGTAAACAGGGCAAAGAGAGAGGGAGAATCTCATTATTGGGGGGCACAGACAGCAATAAAAACCTAAAGGGTATTCTAATCTCTTTCTGTTCTATCCAAAATGAAAATAAATAAAATAAAAAAATTGAGTTTGAATAATTTGAATTGTGTGATTTACGTGGGCCAACATGCTTAAAAACACAATAAAAACTATGTTACCTAACAAGTATTCAGAATCTTAAAAAAAAATCTAATTTCTAAAGATGAGAAATATTTTCAGGGGACACCCATTCTTTCAAATATTTAAACATGACACAAAAAGGGATTCATCTCCAGTCCATCGATTCCCATATGACTAAACTGCAACCGGTCTATATGGCAAACCGTCAAAGTAACCTCCCAAGTACATTTATAATAAAATTATCAGGTCTTTGGTCTACTGCAGAGGTACTCAACCTATGACCCTCAAAGCCATCTGATGTGGCCCTCAACCTCAAACCAGGGAAGCACTCTTCTATTATATCCTGCAGGTTTCAGAAAGTCACACCCGTGGTGCAGGTAAACCACACTATATCAATGTGAACGCAGCCTTATAGGGGTTTAGGACAGTAAGGGCTCATTTACATTTGCAGTTTGGGAGGGGGTTAAACCCCAGTGTTGAGATGTGTTTTTTACTACACCCCCTCAACCACTGGGGTAGCACCAGGGGTCAAAATGCTGACCTTACTTGGCCTCCCAGTCACAATTTGCTGTACACTTGGACAGGAGAGGTGGCAAGGATGGCATATACAGGAGCCGGTCCTCTCCATTTTCCTCCTGAAACTGCAGAAAGCTGGCTTCTCCTCCTCTACCTCCCTCTGGCTGCAGGAGGAAAAGGTTCATTATGCTAAAATAACAATTCAAATTCTGAACCATTTCAATTCATTGTGGCTTGCGACCGGTTACCAAATCACTGATGTAGCCTTCGCTCTTCAACAGGTTGAGCACCCCTGGTCTACTGGAATGTGTTGTTGACTGTGCAAACATTTGGTTTTTTTTTTTTTTAAATTTTTACAACATTTAAAAACACAAAAAGTACACAAAAGTGGAATTGTAAGATTATAAATGTTTATAAAGTGTTTAAATGAATGCATTATAGCGTTATGTATTATTATATGCAGGGCTAAAACCTAACCTAATTTTAAATCAGAATAATTAGAAATACTGCAAATTAATATTTCATAACAACCACTTATAGCCAGTAGATTCTAAACTCTGAGCTTTAAAGTGTTACTTAACCCGCAACAGTAAAATCAGTCTGTATATGCAGTAGAGCATACTTGTTATACTCACTGTGGAAACTAAGGGGTTAATCCTCCGCATTGTGTAAAAAGGCTGTTTGATCCTTTCTTTTCTGTTCCTCCCCTTTTTCAAACGACCACCACTTATCTCCAGACTGAACCGTAGGCAGCTCAGTTTGGTGTATATTGCTAGAGAGGTTTTTTTTTTTTTTCTGGGGAGAGTGCATGTGATCAGCACAGGGCCAATCAGCACTGTCCAGACAGAGGGTCAGGGGATTTCCATCCTCCTAGAGCAGAAAGAAAACTCCTCCTACAAGCTTTAGCTAGTGCTCTGCTGAACACTGATAGAAGTCACAAGACTGCTCTAACTGCTGATGAGAAAAGGTATTTAGCAGTTCATATTTACTAAAATAATTGCACTTCCCATGTTCTGTGTACTGTGGGAGACCAGATATAGTGAATGATGGGTCCGGGAGACCGGATATAGTGAATGCAGGGTCCGGGAGACCGGATATAGTGAATGCAGGGTCTGGGGAGACATAATATAGTAAATGGAGGGTCCGGGGAGACATAATATAGTAAATGCAGCGTCCTGGGAGACCGGATATAGTGAATGCAGGGTCCGGGGAGACCAGATATAGTGAATGCATGGTCTGGGGAGAGCGGATATAGTGAATGCATGGTCCTGGGGGAGAGCGGATATAGTGAATGCAGGGTCCTGGGAAACCAGATATAGTGAATGCAGGGTCCATGGAGACCGGATATAGTGAATGCAGGGTCCGGGGAGACCGGATATAGTGAATTCAGGGTCCGGGGAGACCGGATATAGTGAATGCAGGGTCCGGGGAGACCGGATATAGTGAATGCAGGGTCCGGGGAGACCGGATATAGTGAATGCAGGGTCCGGGGAGACCGGATATAGTGAATGCAGGGTCCGGGGAGACCGGATATAGTAAATGCAGGGTCCGGGGAGACCGGATATAGTGTAAATGCAGGGTCCGGGGAGACCGGATATAGTGAAATGCAGGGTCCGGGGGGGAGACCGGATATAGTAAATGCAGGGTCCGGGGAGGGAGACCGGGATATATAGTAAATGCAGGGTCGGGGAGATATAGTGAATGCAGGGTCCGGGGAGACCGGATATAGGATATAGTGTAAATGCAGGGTCCGGGGAGACCGATATAGTGAATGCAGGGTCCGGGGAGACCGGATATAGTAAATGCAGGGTCCGGGGAGACCGGATATAGTGAATGCAGGGTCCGGGGAGACCAGGGTCCGGGGAGACCGGGATATAGTGAATGCAGGGTCCGGGGAGACCAGATATAGTGAATGCAGGGTCCGGGGAGACCGGATATAGTGAATGCAGGGTCCGGGGAGACCGGATGAATAGTGAATGCAGGGTCCGGGGAGACCAGATATAGTGAATGCAGGGTCGGGAGGGGAGACCAGATATAGTGAATGCAGGGTCCGGGGGAGACCAGATATAGTGAATGCAGGGTACGGGGAGACCAGATATAGTGAATGCAGGGTCCGGGGAGACCAGATATAGTGAATGCAGGGTCTGGGGGAGACCAGATATAGTGAATGCAGGGTCTGGGGAGACCAGATATAGTGAATGCAGGGTCCAGGGTTTAGTAACACTTTAAGATTGCTTTTCACAGCGCAAAGAAAATGCTGTTGAGGAACAGATCTGAATTGTAATATTTCAGATTACACGACTGGGCTGTGAAAGAAAAACTAGAGATATGAAGGCTGTTTTAGCTGACTTCTCTTTCTGAAAATGTTAGGTTACTAGTTGTCATGTTGATCCAAGAGTTTTAAAAATTTTATTCACGAACACAGGAAAAAAAAACAAAGCCAATACAGAGTTCTGACGTCATTGGCTGCATAACTGTTTTAGTTCAAATGATTGAAATCAGAGGGTCACGACTACCATGTAACTAGTACTTTTAGAAGAAAATCAAGCAACGCCTTCCTCTGTATTTCCTTCAGTACAGAAATGTAACACAGAGTTTACAAAAGAAGGCAATGCTTTCTAAAAATCAGAAAAGAAAAATACTAATATTTTATACATCTCTGCAATACATGCACATTTCTGCATGTTTTAGCTCTTAAATCGCTTTGAATATTATTATTATTATATTATTATAATACAGGATTTATATGTTAGGGTCGTTGGTTCAAATCCCAGCCACGGCACCTCCTGCCTGGAGTTTGCATGCTCTCCCTGTGCCTGCATGAGTTTCTTCCGGGTACGCCCGTTTCCTCCTACACTCCAAAGACATGCTGGTAGGTTAATTGGCTCCTGTCTAAATAAGCCCTAGTATGTGTATGTATGAATGTGAGTTAGGGAACCTTAGATTGTACGCCCCTTGAGGGTTAGGGACTGATGATATAGATGTAAAGCGCTGCATAAAATTGACAGCGCTATATAAGTACCTGGAATAAATAAACATAGCGCCAATTTGCTCAGCGCTTTACAATATAACGGGAGACAATACAGCAATAATACAGTTCAATACAAGAGGGTTAGGAGGGCCTGATCCTTGGAGCTTACAGTCTAAGAGATAGAAAAATATCTGCTGATGTGCCAGAAAGATAGTATGCTCCTAACGTCCTCTTAGGCAGGCCATAGACTGATCCGTTTATCGGCCGAATTTTCGTCCGACCGAAAAATCGGACAATATTCACGCCGTTAGTGGGGCAATGCCGTCGGCCATTTTTTTGCAGATCTTCTCGTTTCTTTTTATCAATCATGCTGGAAAATCTACAAAAAACGGCCGTTTTTCGTAAGCATTGGTGGCAGCATCCAAGGCAGCAACGACCGATTTTCCATCTATGGCCAGCCTTAGGCAAGCTGTAGATGATACAATTTTCTTTCCTGCAATCATGGAATCCCACCCCTCGCGGAGGAGCTGATCCGGCCAAGATTCAATCCATCTACGGACGTCTTTAGACATGACAACACAGCTCTGCATTTCATAGCATATGGTGTCAGCCCTGCCTACGTCATTTTTGAAAGTTTACAAAGAACACAAACCTCTCTTCAATTTCATAAGCGCTCCTTGTGAACAAGCAGAAGGTGCAAGAAGTTAGCAGCTCACAAGATGTCTGTCAATAGTTACTTTAGCATTTCGAATACAGAAAAAAAATAATATATTTTTTTTTTTTATTATCTCTCTCTATCTATCTATCTATATATATATTTATACACATACATACACACACACATATACACATATATATATAATATCTATATATATATACACATACATACACACATATATCTATATATATATATATATATATATATATATCGATAGATAGATAGATAGATATATATATATATATATATATATATATATATATATGGGTTATATATAAAATAAAACCCCTAGACATCACTTTTGCAATCTGTAGCCATCGTAGCCTGGTGCCCGTTTATTTACACACAGAAAATTGTTTTGTCAATATCTCACAGTATGATTTGCTCGTCCACACCAGGCATAAGCACCACTTGGGGATACAACTTGCAGACATTCTCACCTACAGACATATTGGCATTTAGAGGAAGCAAATTGGAAATCACAATGGGCTTCACTAGTTAGTTCAAATTAGCAAGGAAGCTGAAACCAAAAGCATACAAAAGATACAGTGCAATAAGACATAACCTTGCGGGACCTTGGAAGCAATCTCTTGACTTTTTCTCAATAACCCTAGCTAATTATCTGCAAAGTTAGAGGCCTTTTGTGGCAGGTAATTTTTCTTGGACCATGAGTTTTTGGGCTTTTCAATATTTAATTAGGCTGGTTACAATATGAAAATTCTTGCACATACATGCTCTTCAATTCCTCCTAATTACATTCACATTTTGATTGGTCATCTTAAAAACACCTCTCTCCTTATAATTATTTACTCCTTAAAGATCACTCAAAGGAAATGTATTTTTCACCTTTATGGCTTTTGCGCTTCACAAATTGCTTTTCGGACCGCTAATTACCCACTTAGAGGATTAGAGACTGCAATAATGTAAAAGGAACCTGCATTTAGGACACATTTTTACAGGATGAGAAACATTATATATATATATATATATATATATATATATATATATATAATATATATTTTTTTAAATGTAATGGTGCCCAGGAGAGCAAGACTTTATTTTCTAGATTTTTTTTGATCAAATATGAAATATACTTTGCCGACTCCAAAAAGCAACTGTGGTGATTCATTTGTGTAACTAAACCAACCGCAAGTTATTTGAAAAACAAAATTGAATTTATTAACAAAGATGTCCAATAATATTGCATTTTGTCAACATGCAAAAAAGTGGAATTTAAAAACTTTTTTCCATATGAACAGGGAAGGCACTTTTCAAAGCACTGAGAATTACTTTGGAATAATAATAATAACAGTAATATTTAGCATAATAATAAAAAAGTAGTAGTAAAAAAATATATATATATAGATCAACCAATGGGTATAAAGGAAAGCCTGTTTAAAACTTTTTTTTTTACATAAACACCTTTACTAAGACAAATATATGAACTTAGGTTTCTGTTTTTTCCTTTTTTTTTATAAAATCAAAGTTTATGGCCAAGTTGTAGTCCTGGTGTAAGCTGGAACAAATGAGAAACAGCGTGTTTGCCAAAAACAACCAATCAGGTAAACACCTTCATTCTCCAAGTGCTTTATTTTTTTTTAAATGAAAGATCCAGTTTGTTCCATATTTTTTTTTCTTTTGGGGGAGAAATGGAGGGTGATTTGTTTTTTAAAAATATGTATGTGCCCACCGCAATTGTGAGCAAACGCTATAGAGAAAATATTCAATGACAAGTTGACAGAGTGAAATGCTTCTTTAGCACACCAGCTGTTTAAACACTGTCGTGGCAGCCACCCTTTTGGGGGGGGGGGGGGGGGCTGGAATATATAATATATTTTCACAACGGTGTGGACTATTAATCCACCGGGAACTGGTGACATCATTGAGGTATGCAGGATAATATTGGTTTAACCCGAAAAATGCCATCAATGTGTGCAGCATATGTACGGGAAATCCAGGAATTATTTAATAACACCTACGCCTCATCTACTTCTATTATTATAAATGAGCATATTTTATTTCATTTTTTTTTTCTGCGTGACAATTTAATTTTGAAGCAGGACTTTGGTCTAAAAAGGTAAAGATGTAAATATGAAACTCTTAGCTCTCGAATAGTATTTTTTTTTTTTTTTAGCTACATGCTTTGGGCCTGTTGATCCAATCTGGATTTTATCACCAATGCTTGCTGCATGCTTGTCCAGGCAAGGTGATTCCCTAAGCAGGTTCACACCTAAGCGTTTTCCACAGTGTTTTGCAGAAATGCACTAAAGTCCATTTAACATGATCTCCTATGGAACACGTTCACATCTCAGCATTTTCACCCAGTGCGTTTTTTGGAAAGAGTCAGGGACTTTTTTGAAAGCAAAAAGTTGCGTTTTTGGTTCTAAAGACCTTAATGAAAATGCTGTAGAAAAGCATGTAGTGTGTTTTTGCCATGTTCTTTTAAATCTGCCTAGCAACAAGAACTAAAAAAAAAAAAAAAAAAAACATCAAAAGCGCAAGTGCAAAAATGCAAAACGCAATGCTGAAACGGATCAAATGCAAACTGCATAAGTGTGAACCTAGCCTAAAATAGTGTACAAATGATTGAAGACTACAAAGGAGAGAAAAAATAGTGATTTGCTTAAGCTATACACACACACACAAAAAAAAAGAAAAACTTAATATGATGGCAGTGTAGTAATAAGAAAGACAATGTAAGACGGGATACATTTAGAAAAAAAAAAAAATCGCTACAAAAGCTTCCCACTTGAAACTTGACAGCTTGACTGAATACAGATGGTAACAAGGTCGAAAAGTCTTACAAATCAATATAAAATTTTATTGTAAAAACAAAAACATTTCTGGCTGGCTTCAAATCCCATTCTTCAGGGTCTATTTATAATTTTTTTCACCCAAAAGTCACAATGTTCCCTCGAGATTCGCATTTTTAAATTTGATTCAATTTGAAATTTGCTTGAATCCTGGGTAAAAAGTTGTGTGAATCTTGGGTGAAAACATTTATAAATAGATCAATGACAATGAAGCATTAATGAAAAACAATTGTATAATCATATGAAAACAAATCCACTCAAGCTACACCATAAACAGTGGATAACTCTCTTTTAAATACGGTTTATGGAAACGTAATCTATGCACTTAAGAATAAATGGATCCCAGCTTTGTCTTGGTATCGCAAGTTACAACATGAAATAAAAAATTTGTTTTGGTGTCTGGTATAGCCTAGGCCCTCTCCTTTCTTTTAACTTTAAATTACATTGCACATTCATTGCATTCCCAAAGATGGGTCTTGTGTGGTTTTGGCCAGGCAGTGGCCATTCAAAATAAATCTTTTGCTTTAATGCAAGGCAGTTTAATATGCAGAGTTTGAGCCCAGCCTTAAACCCTGACTATCCCCGCTTCAGTCGATCCTTAATACGGCTGCCAGACTCATTCACCTTTCCAACGCTCCATCTCCGCCACCCCCCCTCTGCCAATCCCTCCACTGGCTTCCGAT